GGGGGGGTGGGGGAACCGGCCAACATTGGTCCTCTATTAGCAGGAACGTGTAAGTCAACCTGGAAAATAATTACAGCCTTTAGCCTAGAATCCATTCCTTCGATTTCATGCGTTGAGAGAGTGTATTGGGATTTAGCTTGTATTGATTTCTAGTACTTCATATTATCTTATTTTTCACGCAAACCGTTATGCTTTGTCATTTCACATCGATGATCTATAAGGTATACATTAATAAATGCCCTTTTGACTGTGGTTTCGATGGCGAGAATTAGTTCTGTTGCTTTGTGAAAGCATGAATTTGTTGAATTTAATGAAATTAAGACGGTGTAGACTAAACATTGATACTAAGTAATCCATTTTCCGAATCTCGCCCCAATTTCAACAAGAGTCTGAGTCAATTATGGAAGTCTTTTACGCCAAGACACGAATAAAGCACGTTAAGAAACCATTAAGAAGCACTGATACTCCTTCCAAAAGCTTATCCAAATGTGTCGAAAATATTTTGTTGGATATGCATTAGGATTTCACAATCCCAATTAATTTGACAATTTCACATGTGAGCGTCACAGCCCTCCGAGGAGATTTGAAGCAGATCTCCCTCAACAAACAAGAGCGGTACACTATTATGAAAAGTGCAATTTTAATTCTGACAGAAACTGAAATTGTTGAGAAATTAAAAAGAGGGAGAAAGCAAAGTACTTCCAAGTTTTTGAAGGTCGCCATGTTTACTAAATGAGATATCCTCACACAAAATTATACGACTCGCCTACCGTGGCATGATTCAAATCACAGAAAATACTTATTCCCCCCAAATTGCACCTAATTAATTAAAATGAATATTGGTTGGTAGTATTGCCCATAATTTATACCCTCTGATACTAACTTTGTAAATGTTAATTATTAATTTTTATTTTTCCGCATAAAATTTCATATTTTTATCAATCAAAATTCGATAAAAAATTACACAGATTAAGTGTTTGTTCATTCATGAAATCAAAATGCGTAATCTTGTTTCACTGATGTACGTAGAAAGGAAGGGTTCATATCTAAGAAAATCTTCTTAATGGAGAAGCATCAAGGTCACGGTAAATCGAGAGGGGGAACAGATGTAAAAGTGACAGTCACAAAGGTAGAGAAAAAGGTAAGATGAGTACTGTGAAAAGAGGTCAAATATGACATACAGTGAGGTCATGGTAGTTTGAAGTCAACCGCCGGTTTATAGACTTTTTGCAAAATTCATACTGTTTAAAATAAATCATAAAACAGAAGGAGCAATTAATTAATTAAGAAAATAAAAAAATTTCCTTCCCAAGCGAAACGTCCGCCTTATATAAGGTTTGTAGCGGATTGCTACTTTATAAAAGCCTGACTGACACAGAAATCTCTATGGCAGCTTCTCCGACATCTAGCTAGACTCCCAGAACCAGCTAAGCTATAGCCCAGCTACAAACGAAACAGACGTGTAGCAAGGAGCACGTTTATTCAGTGAGTATATTGCGGATCAAGTGTGTACACGCAGGGAGCTACTCATGATCAGGATGGGGGATTAGGTTAAACGAACAGAGGTTGATGATTGGTCACTGTTTGTACGGTCGCTACACACAGAGTTGTACGGCCGCACCTCCTAATCCTGGCGAGCAGACATGCAGGCACACGATGACGCACAGAGCGATAACGTGTCCCACAGGTTCGAGCCAACTCCATTTAACAATTGACTTTTAATAACGTTTAGGCACGTGAAAAATCTAAAGTTCTTCTCTATTTGTGTGCACGAGTTAATTCTTTAAGTGAAATTCAGTGGAAGAATTCTCCCTTTAGTTAATTATCAGTTTGCATCATTTAACCACCCTGCTAGAAATCCTGGAGAGGGACAATCAAGAATTTTGCCTAATTTTCTTGGCTAACGTTTTCCTCTAATTTCACTAAAATAGGGTGATTAATGAACCCCCTCGCACTTGGTTCATGTGGGTCATACAACATCACCGCTGAACAAGTAATCTCATGCACACCAAGACGGGCTTGAAGGTGCGGAGAACACAGCCAACCTCCAATCAATAGTCCTCGCTTGGTTAACCAAATCCGCCATATTAATATAATGACTGAGCTCCTTGCCCTAACACACACACGCATCCCGAATAAACGTGTTCCGTGTGATGCATCTGTTTCACCAAAACTGGGCGATTGGGGAACTTCTCTGCACTTCGTACTACTTTCCTCTCACCCTTCGTAGTCCATCGCCCACCTTTCTTACTCGCGCTGATATAGATGACCTCTTGTCCTACATTTAGGTCACACAGAAAAACCCAATTCTTTCTCCAGCAGCAGTCTACTAGACTCATTGACCACCACGAATTTCTCTCATTAACTTAATAATCATAACGTCACTAAGTCGAAACTTCAGAAGTGCCCTGAGGTTCCGCGACTTACAACGCCTTTTAATTCGATTAATTATGTTGAACATCACGGGGTGTGCGATAGACTTACCTCCACGTGGTGCATCCTTGGCAACGTATACTCATACGGCAAAAAAGTCTATTAACCGGCAGTTGACTTTAAACTAACAAGGCCCCCTATATGACATATTCGACCACTTCCACAGTGCTACATCACATTTACAGTACTACATCACATTTTTTCTAAATTTTCAACCTTCGCTTTTTCTAAATTTTCAACCTTCGTCTTTGAAACACTCTTCTTCAGTCACCCTCCTCTCGACTTTTTTTCACTTTGATGTTCCCCCTCCTCTATGTGAAGCCTGAAGTCAACTAAAGGGCTA